CCCCGTCTCGAGCAGCTGGCTCTCCCAGCCGAAAGAGTACCAGCGCTGGCCAACGGCGTTGATGGAGTGGTAGAGCACCCAGAGCCCGAGCAGGTGCCACGCAGACGCCCCACCCCTCACAAGGGCCACGCCAGCCAGCGCCGCGCCGCTCAGCGCCAGCGCGTCCAGCCAACGGTTCAGCGACGCCCGGTCCCCGGCCAACCAGAGCAGCGTTGGCAGCCGCTCGATCCGGGCGCAGGCCCGGCGCACCTTTGCCTCCCAGCCGGTGCCAGGCCCACCCTGCAGCACGACGGTCTCCGCCACGGCCTCGGCGCGGCGGAGCAGCCGCCGGGCGGGCAGCAGCCCCCTGTCGCCCACCAGGGCGCGGTTCTGGCGGAAGGCAACCAGGAAGGCGACCAGGTACACGGCGCACAGCCATCGCAGCGCCAGCGCCCGGGCCAGCCAGTAGCCGCCCGCCAGCGGAGCGGACACCCGCCTGCTCGCGGCCGCGTGAGCGACACCCACGGAGGCCAGCCCGAATGCGGCGGAGGCGAGCGCTGCCTGGACCCAAGACCGCGGCCCGGCCTCGCACGCAGCGGCCGACCTCCTCACGAAGCTGATGATCTCTCCCCAGAGATCCGCCACCGTGCCGTCGGCACTGAGTACTAAGAGCTGTTCAATGAGCGTGAGGGGGGGTGGATCGCGTAGAGGTTCGCGGGGCGTCGGGGGGAGAAGACCCCCCGAGAGACCTCAAGAGCACCCACGAGGCCTAACTTATGGTCCACGGTCCAGGCCAGGCGACGGGATGGGCCGAAGGCATCCGGATCCGCCACCCCCGCTTTTGCTTGCACAGGAGCGCTAGGCGCACCGAGTTTTCGAATACGTTCGGGACCCTTCCGAAAGTTTCCCAATGCCATCTGGCTCGACGCGCCAGCCACCCGGCAGCGCTCGCAAAAACCGGCTCCTGTCGCCTTTCCCACATGAGATCGATCCAGGATGGTCCAAAACGGACTCCAAGACGGTCCCCAGACGCCTCCACGACGGCCCAGCTGGCGCCAGGCGGGTCGAAGATGGATCCAAGATGGCCCAAGACCGCCCAAGACGGTCTAAGACTGCATCAACACAGCTATAAGAAGCTTCGAAGGCGACCCAAGATGGCTCCAAAAGGCACTCCACGTGGCCCCCAAGAGGCCGCATGCATTGGTCATTGTTGGCGTTTGAATGATTACAGCGTTGCCAGCTTTGAAGACTCCCGACGGCCTAAAAACAACCCAAGAGGCCTCCAAGACAACCCCAAGAGGCCCCAAGAGGCCCCAAGAGACCCAAGAGGCCCCCACGAAGTTCCAAGTCCTCCTCTTCCTCCTCCTCCCTCACTCCTTCCCTCCTTCCTCCCTCCCTCCCTACGCCCTCCCTCCCTCCCTCCCCCCTCCAAAGTTGTTCGAGATCTCTGGGCCCCTGGACCTTTACAAGAAACCAAAATTCTGGAAGCCTTAGCAAAAGCTCGAGAAGAGGCCCGTCAGGATCCCCTGGACACTCACGGTTTCAGAGAGTCGTCAGGCTGCCCACGCTATGCGCCCCCGAGCAGGGATGGGGGTAGATGTTTTGTCCCCGACGGACGTCGAGCGGATGCCGGACGCTGCGCTCGCAGAACTGTCGCAATGGTATAGTTTCATTGAGGAGACCCTCAATTGGGCCTAACTATAGGGAGAACGATTCCAAAGAAAGCCCCTGGCGACAGGGTCATATGGTTACTCACGATGATGGTGAGAATCTGGAGTCTTACACGCGAACCACTGATTAAGACTTGGACCACGGAATCTGAGCCCATGTGGGATGCTGCGATGTAGGGAAACGCTGCTTTACGTGAAGCTGTTATGAGAGTTTGCGAAGAGAAAATTTCTGGAGTCTGGGGGATTCCCTCGGGCCATGGACTCCTGGACATCCAGAGGTTCTACGGTGCGATGGAATGGTATCTGCTAATGCCCGCAGCGACGCGACTTGGTTGTCCACCCGTGGTTATGTTTTTTTTTTAACTGACACTGTGCTTGATGCCTCGGACTGTAGGTCAAAGCGGAGCTTTTGCCAAATCCATACAACCGACGAGGAGCACTGTGCAGGGGTTACGACGTGGAACCCGTTTCGTAAGGTGCCTGACATATGTTACACTATCAAAGATCACCACGGCACATCCAAATACGGGTTCGAGGATCTGGATTGATGACCTGTCCCAGCGTGTGCTTGCGTCCCGCCGTCAGCTGCGAAGAGCCCTGTTGGCAGGGCTTCTGGACACTTGTCATGCTTTGCAGCGTGAATATTTGACTGTCTCACCGAAGAGTATTATCTGATATTCCAACATTGCCGATGCGAAGCACATCTCTCAGAAACTTCAGGCTGCTGGTTTTGAAATCCAATCTCAATCTCAAGCCGGCTACCTCGGGGTGGATTTGCGAGGTGGTACCCGTCACGCTCGTCAAACTCGTACCAAACGGGTGGTAAAGGGCAAGGCTATGCATCGGAAGGTTGTTGGTTTTGCTCGTGCAGCTCGACGGTACAGTGTTACGAGTAAACTGACGCGGGTGGGCACCCTTACGGCCCAGCTGAATAGGCATCGAATACACGGCGTTTTCGGCGCCGCCATGACGGGAGCACGACGGCACTTAGGAGCAGCATGTGGAACGGGGAAGAAAGGGCGCTGCTTAACCACTCTACTAAATATTCGCTGCCCTATATATATATATATAAAACAAAAAACAAAACAAAAACAAAAAAACAAAAAAACAAAAACGCACGCTGCCGCGAGCTTGTCTCGACCTCGCTTCGCCAGTGGCTTTCGCTGCCGTCGATTAGATCTCGAACGTTTTCGCCGCACCCCCGAGAGCCAGAGATCCAGATGCGTTCGGGGCCCGACGGGAGCGGCCATGTTGTACTTGATTCAGGCTGGTTGGGACCCCGTCGAGCCCTCCCACTGGAATGCCCCAGCTCAAGGATGCGGAGATATTGCAGCCTGGCGTTTCCCGTCTTCGGAGCTTGCTGGAAACTTGATCGACGATAACCCAGGAGCCCTCTTGGATGACTTCGATCTTTCCATCCAGCACCAACTTTGGAAAAACGCGGCCCAGCATGATTCTGGCGAGGGAGTGCAATAGGGGTCGACACTTCCTCACTAAGTCGCTTGCTAAAACAGCTGCCGGTCGCTCCGCATGGCAATCGTTTAAGCGAGCTGCGCGTTGCCGTTGCCACGGGCGGTTCCTGGCCCAGAGTCCGCCGACATGAGCAATTGAAGGAAAGCAGGAAATCGTATGCCCACGCTGTTTTGTGGAACCCGAGACCCCGTTCCATCGAATTTGTGGCTGCTCTGAGAACCGTGGGTGCAAAGCATATTCTGACTCCGAGTCGCTCACGTCAGCAGCGTATGCAGGCGGCGAAGCGGAAGCCTGTTTCTTGGCTACGCGGACTTATCCCTACAGCATGGACTGCAGTGCCATCGCCCGCGTCTGCAGAGGACTGGCTGATTCGAGGCAGCCAGCACAATGATCATGAGGGGCGCCTTGGATCGGGATCGGCTCTGGAACCCATTATTGTTTTCGGCGATGCCAGCGGAGGCAGCAATGCAGGGGATCACAGAGTCACTCGTGTTGGTCTGGCCATTGTCGCAGTCGACTCGTTCGAGCCTTGCCGTATCCGATCGTCGGTGAGCGGGCCCCTGGTGGGCAAGGCCCAGTCCGTACCTCGAGGGGAACTTAGAGCACTACTGTTGGCTGCCGAGTGCACCCGTGGTTGTGTCTGTTACGCCACTGGTAACGAAGCCGTGGCCCGGAGATTTCATTCTGGAATGCACAAGCGGCCCACTGGGCCACATGCTGACCTGTGGTGATCCCTGGGGAGAAGGTTGCACGACCGTCCTGCCCAGCTGCCTGCTCGCTTTGTCAACTCTCATCTCTCGGCAGTCCCGCAGGGGGGTCTGTCCGCGGACCAGCGGCCTCTGCTTGGAGACCGCGGACCAGAATCATCTTCAGCCAAAACGGCTACGGGGGGATTCGTGCCACAGGGGAAGCCCGATGTATATGAGCATACGTAAAGCACCTAGGATTGCAGCCACAGGATTGGAGCCACAGCTTTGTCAACTCTCATCTTTGCCAGGTACTTGCCAGGGGGGTCCCGCCCTGGCTCGTCCAGGGCAGTATCGCTGCTGAGCTGGCGGCCGCGGAGGCGGCCCACCGTGCCCGCGCCCCCGACGAGGCGCGGTCGCGGGCGCACGAGGCCGAGAAGACGGCCTGCCTCGTCCGCCACCGCCGCGTGCGCGCCACGGCGGACGCGCTCGAGGCCGAGGAGCGGGGTGGGAACGGCGCCGTGAGGAGCAAGGATCCTCCTCCTCCTCCTCCTCCTCCCCCCGCCCCTTCGTTCCTCGCCTCGTTTAGCCCATCACATAGCCTGAGCGACGATCGCAAGCGTTGTCTTCGATGTAAGGGGTCGGCTACTCCCGCCACTCAGACAGGTTGGTGGAATTCGGATTGCTTCCAGCCTGTGACACCTTGATGATAAATATGCAGCAATCCCTCGGGGGGCGGTTCCATATAGCTGGGGGTTGAGCCGATCGGACACATGCGATGGATTTGCAGGGGCGGCGGGCGATACGGCAGCCAGCAGAATCGAGCCCTGTCTAAGCCATGTGGTTTCAAGATCCCCACTCATCGAGGCGTGTACCTTGATCGATTGAGCAGGGGAAGTGGCCTAAGCGTCTTAGCAATGCTGAGCAGCTAAGCCGCCTTTAGTGTGCTTCTCGACTATGTCGAATAGCACGATACTCGACAGCCTCTCTCCCTCCTCGTTTCACCTCCCCCCTCCCTCCTCCCTGCTTCCTCCATTCTGCTCCCTCCTCCCTCCTCCCTCCTCGCTGCTCCATACTCACTCCTACCTCCTCCCTCCTCCTTCCTCGCTCCTCCCTCATCCCTCTTCCCTCATCCCTCCCTCCCTCCTCACTCCTCCCACATCCCTCTTATCGCATCTCTCCTCCCTCCTCC